GTTCTTGTTTTTATTACAAACTAAAGGTAGTTGATCCTTTAACAATTCCAATTTCTGAAATGACAAGTGACCAAGCATGTGATGCCAAACATGAACATTTACATTGTTAACAGATGAACAAACTGAAATATGATTACTACTAATTTTCACTACATCAAATGAGCCATCTTTCAATATGTATAACTCAGCCAATTTCTCACCATTGCCAATCATCTTCTGGCTGTGCAAGTCCTGAATAAAACACGAATTAGTAAGAAATCGCACTGCCACATATGAATCTTTAGTCAAAGAACTCACTGACATCAGGTTGAATTTGAATTCTGGTATATATAGCACATCCTTTAATATCAAATTGGGAGTCACTTTCACTGTCCCAATAAACTTAACAAAAATTATTTCATGATTTGGTAGAGTGATGAAAGCGTTTTTCACAGATTTTATATCTAGAAATGCTGAATAATGTGAACAAATATGACTGGTGCCTCTTGAATCAATAACCCAATGTTTAGGGAAATTAGCCAACGTGTTACTGGAAGTGGAAAAACAAGTACTTGATACTTGATTTGAGTGCACACTTTCTACTCCAGTATCCACCTTCACAGATGTTAAGTGGCTGCTCAACATATTCATCAGCTGTTGGTATTGGCCTTGATTTAAAATCTACATGAAATCCTTCGTACCTCTCTGTTTTTGTTCTGAAACATCTTCAGAAACTTGATTAGCACCAATGTAATTTGGTGATTTGTTTCCAGCAGGTTGAGCAACAAATTGAAGTCTCTGTTTACTCTTAAATCCAGGTGGATAACCGTGCAACTTGTAGCACTTATCCACAGTATGGCCAGCATAACCACAATAAGTGCACATAGGTCTCTCCTTCCTTGGCAACTTATTATGCACTTGCCCAGTGTTACTCCTTTTCACATCATTTCTGGCATAAAATGCCATTGAATCACCAGCTAATCCAGTGGCATTTGAAGTGGTAATAACATTCCTTTGATGTTCTTCTTGAGAGACAAGAGAAAACACATTGTTAATAGGAGGTATAGTGTCTATAAGCAGTAGTTGACCTCTGACCTGAGCAAAGGAATCATTTAAACCAATCAGAAATGACATCACGTATTCTGTTTGATAATGATCATCTAGTTTCTTAGATCCACCACAGCTACAACTTCCATATGAACACACTGGTCTGTAGTTGCTTAATTCTTCCCAAATTGTCTTCAATTTTGTAAAGTAGGTACTCACTGATGACTGACCTTGATTGTGATTCATCAGTTCGCACCTCAATTGGAAGATGTGTGGTCCATTACGCTATTGGTACATTTCCTTCAAATCAATCCAAATATCATGAGTAGATTCTGAGTAAATCACACTAGCAGAGATCTCCTTAGAAACTGAATTAAGTATCCATGAGATAACAATGTTATTATTTCGGATCCATTGACTGAGAAGATCATCGTCATCTTCAGGTCGAATTATAGAACCATCGATGAATCCTATTTTATTTTTGCCTGACAATGCAATCAACATAGATCTGCTCCATGAAGTATAATTCTCTTCAGTTAATGGCTGAGATACAAGGATCAGCCCTGGGTTATCAGAATGGTGCAGATAGTAAGGGTTTTGGATATCATCAGTGGAGGAATTTCTGAAATTTCCATGAATTAACGCTTTAATTGCCATGGCGATTCTGATCAAAATTGAATTCAGAAATTAATAGCAACAAAAGAAGAATCAAGAGGATTTTCAGAGTTTAAGCGGAAAAAATTAAAGCTCTGATACCATATCAGAGAGAAAACATGAAATGAAGAATGAAGAGCAATCTCATTCAATTGAATGTGAATCAGTACATTTAGATGGTATTTAAATAGAAAGAAAAGATTTCATTTAACTAACTTAACTAACTAACTAATATCCTCAACTGCCAGCTAACTCCAGCTGTTAATTCTAGCTCACTCCAGCTCGTATTAACTTGTTCTGTTATTATTTTTTGTTTTCTATTTATTCTTGAACTTTCTACCATTTTGCTATGAATTCATGGTGGCTACCGCTAGCCAAAGCTACTGCCATTTTGCTCAAAGTTTCAACTTCCATTTTGATGATGTTGATGGGGGTTCGAGGTGTGTTGATGGAGAATTTGATGTTGTTGGCCGGTGGATTTAGGTCGTTGATGTAAGGCGAAGGCGAGCGAATGGTGGTGGTTATGGTCGATGATTCTGGGCGGTGGCTGAAGGCAGGGGAATGGTAGTGATTTTGGTCGATAGTTGAAGGCAGGGGATGATGGGAAAACAAAAAGCTTCATTTTTCAGGAAAAGTTGAATTGACTTGGACCAAGTAATATGATAAATGAGTTTGTTGGAGTGTGAGGAAAATGATGGAAGAATTAGGTAGGAGATGTTGGTGGGAACAACGGCAAAAGTTAGTGGAGGACAATGGTGGAGATAGAGGTGGCGAGGAGGGATAAAATAGGACCAACTGGTTTTGGGTTTAGGAGAAGGTGGGTTGTGGGTGTGGGAAGGAGAAGATGAATAGTGATTGGATTATTTTTTTGTTTTTTTATTTTTAATTCAAAGTTACTATTTTACCCTTTAAAAATGTTTTTATTTGGTCAAAGTTAAATTTATTGTGTCAACTAACGATCAAACTAACAAGAATTCATCAATTTGGACCCCGTGTTAATTTTTGAAAGGTTTGAGATTGTGGTTGATACAAAGTGAAGATTAAAGTAAAATTTGCGAAAAACTCAAAGGTTTGGGACCGTTGTTGCAATTATCCCTTTATTTTTCTTCAAACTTATTTTCGTACATACATTCTCTCAATAAAATAATTTTTCGTTTACACTTAAATTTTTTTTTACTTTTTAATCATACATTCTCCATAAAATTACTATTATAAAATTATTATTTTTTTAAATTGGGCTTAAACAAACTTTAAGCAACATGCATGGGTTCAAAAGTCAAACTTTTAGCCCTTGTTTGACTCACATTCTATAAAAATTCATTTTTTTAAAACTCATTTTCAATCACATATTTTTCAATAAAATAATATTTTCCATCACATCCAAAAATTTTCCTTATTTTTTTAACCACATATTCTCCATCAATCTATTATTTAAAAATACATTCTTCCAAAATAATGTGGCTCAAACACACTAATGCAAGTTTTCAATAGTGACACTTATCATGTATGTTAGCGTTAGTGTTAAATATAAATATAATTCTATTTGTATTATATATTTGCCAAGCATTAGAATATAATTGAAGTATAAATATAATTGTACTTGTATTATGTATTGGCATAGCATTAGAACATAATCATGTATAGTATTAAAACATAATCATGTATATTTAAGTTTAAATATATTTGTACTTTATTATGTATTTACATTTAATTAATGAAGATTTTTTAAAACTTATTTTTATTAAACTCATTTTCAATCATATATTCTCTCAACAAAATAATTTTGTACATGAATCCATAATTCCTTACTTTTAATTATACATTCTCAAAAATAATAATTTTTCACAAAATTTATTCTAAAAAAATTACATCAAATATGCTCTTAAATATATTATGTTCTTATAAGTACTACATTTTAATTGTATGAAATGTTTACAATCTTTGCTCGCCGTCACTTTTATACGCCCTAATTTTTTCATTACATTCTTATCATCAAATTTTCATTAATTAGTACATATTATCCTTAATATTTTTTTTTTTTTTTTTTTGAAAAATTTCGTTAGGAGTGATAAAAGATTTATTTGCCCTTTGAATAAGCAAGAAAGATATAAATTTGGGACTAAATATTTGTCCATTATTTAAAATAAGAAAGAAAAGTTATTGATGTGATGGAAAATATTATTTTATTGAAAAATGTGCGATTGAAAATGAGTAGAAAAATGAGAATAAAATTTTTAATGTTGCTCAACACATGGGTTATATTGTTTTAGTTAACTTCTATATATATATTTGAAAAAAAAAAAAAAAGTAGTACAATTACTGTCCTATATTAAATTCCTCTGGAAAATGGAATATAGGCAAATAGCAATCCACGTAGATGAAGTTGGGATCTATTTCTGACTTTCTTCTTCCAATATTTGCTAAGTTCTCCATAATTAACTGCAGTTATTAATCAAATTTGACTTTTATTAAATACATTTTGCCCCTAATAATTAGCAGGTTGAATATAGTCAAGATGTCAACCTTCAACATCATTCACCTCCTATTTTATATAAATTAAGAAGTCCTTAAAAAATTCAAGTCGAACGAATAGTTAATTTTAACTACATCTGTAATTTTAACATTGAGGGGTTGTTCAATTGGTCAGGCATTGGATTTGCTCCCCAATGATCACTAGTTGGAGTTCCTGCAGGGTACTGAGGTGAGTACCGGCCGTAAACTTCAGGGCCTCGTGGGATTAGTCGAGGTGGGCGCAATCTGGCCCGGACATCCACGGTTATCAAAAAAAAACTACACCTGGAATTTTACAATTTTTATCAACTTTTTAATCGAAATCTTTATCAAAATTTACTAAAAAATTGACTTTTAACTACGTCAAACAGCGTCTCAATATTTTTCAATTTCAAAATGTAAAAATATTAAAAATAAGAATTTCATATAGTTTTTTATATTACAATGAGAGCCTGAGACTGGCCCCGACTTGCCTCCACCGCAAGACCAATGACGAATGCTTGGTTGCCGGTTGGGTACACGAAATACTTCCCAAGTTTGGCCAACTTTGTAATTACATTTTGACTTCTGTAGAGAGTGACTGATAGTTTGATATTCTGGTCAAACATTTTATTTCTGTAATTAGTAATTTGATCGTCATGTAATTATTAGAATATGATTTTTGTAACTAACAATTTGATTACTGCAACTATCAAATTTTAATTCTTGAAAATAGCATTTTGATTCTTGAAATGCACAAACATTTTTTGGCGTTGCAGAGATATACCAGTACACAGTTTTTTCACAACAAAACTAGCGGTGAAGTGAAGATGAAGAATGAAGAGCAAGCACGGACTCTGTTTGGGATTTCTCTTTCTGAGAGGCCCAGATGGAAACAATTCCTCATTTGCTCTTCTGGGTTCTTCTTTGGTTATCTTGTCAATGGCATCTGTGAGGTATATGAATTTCGAGAATTCAAGAAAAAAATAATTTTCTTTGATGGTGTTTTAGTGCGTGACATTTGTTTGATTTTCAAAAATTGAAAAAATTCATTGGAAAATGGAGGGAAAAAGACTTGGTTTGGTGGAAAAATAATTGAAGGCGGCAATGGAATTTTGTCTTTTCATTTCTGTTTGCATGTCTATGAGTTTAGGGTGAGAAGATTTCAATTTCTGTTGGGTATATTAACTATAGTAAATTGTGAAATTTGATTCAATTTAGTAATTTGTATTGTGAATTTATACAGTTTTGAGAAATTATTTCCTTTGCAAAGCAATTCTAACAAAATTCTGCTGCATTTTCTATCTTATGTGGATCTGTATTTTGACTTATTTTGCTCAAATTTCAGGAATATGTGTACAACAGGCTCCAATTCAGGTGAGGTTACATCTTGTCTTTTCGGAAATGGAACAGTACATCATGAGTTTTATTCTTTCGTTGGTTTACTTCTTGTAGCTATGGATGGTACTTCACGTTTGTTCAAGGATGGGTGTATATATTCTTGATTTACTTGCAAGGCTTCACTCCAAAGCAAATGGTGAACCCATGGAAGACTTATGTGAAGCTCTCTGCTGTGCTCATGGGTTCAAATGGACTTACCAAAGGCTCTCTGGCTTTTCTCAACTATCCGGCACAGCTCATGTTCAAATCCACCAAGGTGAAAAAGAAATCCTTTGGCTTTCTTTAATTGTGTTGCAAGATAAATGGGTTTGCATAAGCTCTGAATCTGCTTATATTTGGATGATGTCCTTGAAATTCTAGCTGTAATAATAGCAGCGAGCTTAATTCAGATAAAATGTTACTATGAGTTGATTAATAGACGGAGTAAGTTTTTAACATTATTAAGATGAAACTTTATAGGATAATAAATCATATGGTATGCTCTGTCTGGATGATTTGATGGTACTGAACAATATTAATAAAGAAAATGAAGTTAAAATTGTTGCGTTTTTTTTATCGTAAGTGTACGATATCATAACAAGTAATATAGTAGACCCTTGAATCCGAATTATCATTCCCACAATGACTATACTTTAATGCTTAATTTCCTATGTTTAACTACTATCTGACGAAAACAAACAAAGAGTCGTAATTTCTAATCTAACTAATTGAAAATAAGTGGATGCACACAAAGATCGATTTAGAATTCAAATAACGAACGGATATTAGGGCAAAACAATTTCACCTATTGATCACATGTTATTCTTAATTCAAGATTAAAAAATCTAATATAATGTTCGATCAAATTCTTCTATTCTATTCAATTTACCCTTTCCAGTTCTCATTGAGTTTATTTAACTAATTCAATCAAATATCTCTATGCGAAATCAACCTTAATTAAACGAAATATTGGTTCTAATAATTCATATAATGATCACAATAATTAGTATATATAACTCTACAAGATATATTAATTTACCGAATTTTACTATATGGTCTAAATCTCAAACTCATCTCTTGATTCGTAAAAGATTCACAAAATCATCAAATTATCATAGCAAAATAACGCATGTACAATAAAATAACAAAAATCTTAAATAAAAGAAATAAAGGGTCCCAAGTAGATTAAATTGTTCACCTTAATATGAAATTTAGCTACTCATAATGCAAAAAGAAAAAAAAAGGAGTTGTTATTAAATATATCACGGGTTTTTAATAAAGATGTAGAAAAAGAAATTAATCTTGCACCAAGATCTTGTTCGTCTTCCCATTAATGCTTCAAATTTTGAAGTTCTTGATTTTTTCTTCCTTGAATTGCGCTCTTCAATCTCTAGTTATATTATCTTTCTCTCAACGTGTGGAACCCTTAAAAAATGACAATAATTCCTCTTTATACTCATCTCCACGTTTGTATAAATGTAGGGTTTCTTGTGGGCTCAAAATTGGGCACAAAAAAAACTCTTCTGCCCTCAAGTGGCGCTTGGGGTGTTGCGCCGCAACGCAGTGTCAGTAAGTGTGATGGCGCCGCGGCTCTACACTTCTGTTTTTGCCGCTTTTTCATGGCGCCACGCCTCAGCCGCTCTATGTTTGTGGCGCCTAGGCTCCCAATTGTGGCGCCAAGGCGCCACTCTTGCTTCCCTTGATGACGTGGTTTCTCTTTTTCCCATTTCGTTCCTCTTTTCTTCTCTTCGATCCATGCTAATAGCCTTGTTTTTTCCTTTCTCTCCATGATTTGCATCATCTCACCATTCACAAACAACACTAACAGACATATTAAAAACGTTCAAAACTCATAAGATCTAGATTATAGTCAAGTTAAAAATGGAATAAAACTCGTGAAATAAAACTCGTGAGTAAAACACACTCATCAAAAATCTTGTGCGTTAGAGTGCCCTCCCCTTTCCAGTTTAGTGTTGCATACCAAAGATCAAAAGATGCACTTACAATTTATAGAACATTGTATTTTTACTTGAATTGCTTGCTTGTGATGAAAAGATTCGTTCACTTCAATTATATCCGAGTTAATTATCCGTTGTGATTGTATACAGGTTTTGCCAGTGATGGTAATTGGAGCCTTCATTCCTGGTTTGAAACGAAAATATCCACCTCATGAATACATATCTGCTGTGCTTTTGGTGGTGGGTTTGATCCTTTTCACCTTAGCGGATGCTCATACTTCGCCAAATTTCAGTGTGATTGGTGTCTTGATGGTATCTGGCGCGTTGATTATGGATGCCTTTTTGGGGAACTTGCAAGAAGCTATCTTTACCATGAATCCTGCAACAACGCAGGTGATGCATGTGATTTGATTCTTGGTGTGAAAGAAGTTAGTCATAAGGAATTTATGATTAGAAATTCTTCCGTTGTCACATTGTTCAATCTTTTGACAGACGGAAATGCTTTTTTGCTCTACCCTTGTTGGCATGCCTTTCTTGATCCCACCAATGCTTTTCACAGGAGAACTATTTAAGGCATGGAGTTCATGCTCTCAGGTAAATTCCAAAATTCATCCTTTTTACAATGTAATCTATTACTAAGGATACTAAGTTATTCTCTCTTGCTTATGCAGCATCCTTATGTTTATGGAGTTCTGGTATTTGAAGCCATGGCAACCTTTATAGGACAAGTGTCTGTTCTTTCCCTAATTGCCCTATTCGGTGCTGCCTCGACCGCAATGGTATGTTCCGAGCCCACAATTCACTAATTTCTGCCTCATAAGTAACACAATAATCAGATTCAACAACTATTGGTGAATTATAGAGGCCACGATGTAAATTGAATTTAGAATGTTATGTTTATGTTATCGTTTCTTGGATGACATTCTCTCTAGTTAACGATATTGGTATCAGTCCTGTATCTTCCTTGAAAATTTTACATTTTATGCTTGATGATTTCAATTAGACTTTACCATATGCCCCTGCCTATCACAACAATGTTGAGGCATGTTTGGAAAAGTGGACTTGACAGCAGTAGACAATATTTTTCTGGCCACTTATGTTCAATACTGCGTACCAAACATGTCATGAATTTTGGACATCCCGGTTAAATTCGAATTTTCTCTCGTTTTACATCAAACTTTATAAACAGGTGACGACAGCTAGGAAAGCAGTTACTCTATTGCTGTCGTATCTGATCTTCACAAAGCCGTTAACTGAACAACATGGGAGTGGACTTCTGTTGATGTCTATGGGGAACATATTGAAGATGTTGCCAGATAATAAGTCCTCCAAGAAGAGATCGACTACTCCATCTCCTCCTCCTCCCATGGTTGAAAAGGAATCTCAGAGTGAAGACAACAGGTTTCAAATTGGAAGTGAAGAAGCAGAGGAAAAAAAGCCGTTGGTCTGATAGTTAGAAACTTTACTTGTAATTTACTTGTCATTCGATTTTATGGCCACCGAAAGTATAAGAAAACAATCTTAAGAAATCTGACGTCGTATTTAACTGGAATTTCAAATGTTCAAGTTGTGGGTTAAAAATCCAAATGGCCGTTGAACTTTGCAAAATATTTTTCATTGACATGAATTAACTATGCTGGGCCATCCTAACTCAGGATGCCCAACATGCTTTAGCATAGATGTTGCCGATTGAAGGACATTAAACTCGTTCTCAATAGTTCTTGAATCGAAAATCAATATTTTTAATTATATTATGAATTATAAACTTTACATTGGCCAAACTCCAATTTTAGATCGTTTGCCAATCTCAATCCAATGAACACTTTCAAAAAGAGTCGTGATTTCTTTAGAAAATTCAAAATTTGAAAACTCCATCGGTACCAAAAATGTTAAATGTAAATTGGATCCTTCAAAAACACTTTCAAAATGTGTCAATCAAAAAATAAACAAAAAACATTAATTAAGGAGTAGGTCTTTCTTAAATTTTTAATACATCAAAGAGAAATGTTCGGGCAAGTTGAGTACATTCTATATGCATTAAAAATCTTAATTTAATGAATGTTACATTAGACCTGTGTATTTTTTTTCCTCATAAATTTTCCATCTTCCAAGGTGTTTTCTTTTTCCAATTAATTGTCATAACAACAAAAAATTCATGCTTCTTAAAAAAATAAATTAAATGAGTTGTTTGACTTTGTATTTAAATGAATTTATTATTTAATGTCATATAATTACTACATAGACTGATGCTTATTACCAATGATGATAAATAACATCACTCTTTTAACTTATACTACGGGCCTTAACTTTTGAACTTAGAATATATCATACTTCATTTTTTTTTTAATTTTTTTTATTTACATTTACATCTAATAATGACATGTTGATTGAACCAAAAACTAATGAATTGAACCATAGACTTGGTTTCGTTGTATTTTGTCAACAAAATTCATTTGCTAATAAAAGAAAATGTGTGGCATAATTAATTCAAAATACTTGTGCAGTTTTATTTATGTATATTAATATAAGAGTAATGTTATTTATCATCATTATGATGTGACAACTCATTATTCCTTACATTTTTTTCTCTCTCATAAAAATTGAACTGTTCAATCTCATTATTTCACATAAACTATCGTATCACCGACGTTCCATCATCATAATGATAAATAACATTATTCTTAATATAAATAGATCCTATTTTGGTGTATTTATGCAAATTAGTACCCCCTAAAATGTTTATAATAGAAGCGGGCATAAAATAAAATCCTTCCAATAATTACTGCCTGATTTCTCATATTTTCTTTAATTGAATGATGTATTTGTGAACCAATCACAAGTACAATAATGCATTAAACGTATCATTAAATTACTAAGGTGTTAAATCTATTAGTATCAAAGAATGCTTAAAAGCAGCTCATTTGAGATTCACGACAAGAATTTTATGTTTTTCCTATAAAATATTCTTGAAGGGAAAAGTTCTTATTGGCGAGAAAAAAAAAATTTGCAAACGAAAAAAATTTGTAGGCAAATTTGTGGAGCAAACATCGAGAGAAAAAGTAAAAGATGACAAAATTTTAAAAGTTGTGGGCTAAAGTTTTTCCTTATGAACCCTTTAGAGACGAATACAATACGTCTCGTAAATTTTTCCCCGACAAAATCATTCGTCTGAAGTAATTACATTTGAGTTTTGGCCCAAGAAACGATTTTACTTTTCTCTACAAATAAATTTTTGTGTGGGAATAATTTGTATGGAGAAATTAAATTATTTTCATATATTTTTTTTTTGTTATTTACGTTGTATTAATTTTTTAACCTTATTAAAAATAATAAAAAAATGCAAAAAGATCATAAATTAATTAAGACATTTAGTATCAATCAATGCAATATTGAATCCAAAATATTGCACCAAAACAAAAATAAAAACCATTCACTAGTTATATATTTAGTCACAAGCGTGACTTCTCAATTACCAAAGTGTTGATCGCATTATTGATTCATACAACAAGGTACACATAAATATAGCGGTGTCCTCTAAATCATCATACTAAGGACCGGCCAATCTTCAAATGTGAAGACCTTAATATGATAATTCAATTACTAACATTATGCTTGTATGTACCTTGTTGTATGAATCAATAATGAGAGAGAGATAATTGGTGGGTGGGGGATAAAACGGTCATTTTGTGCTTAATTTCAATCAAGAACCTCATGTGGGAGTTAAATCTTTTGGATTGATTGTAGTTAGTCTGGCTCTAGTTAGGGTTGTCAATGGATTGAATTTTGATCTGAATCTGATCCAAATTCGATGAAATTAATAAGAGATGAATTCATGGTCTGAATCAGATAACCTAGTCAAGATCTGAAGTCAATAATATGTTAACTAAATTGATCAAATATGGATATAGGTCAATCCGATCCAATAACAATCCGATCCGATTTGCTGTAAATAATTGAGTTGGTAAAATATTTTTATAGCATGTCATTTGTGACTAAAATAAATAAATTTAAAATAAAAAAGTCATCAAATTTAAAACATAAAAAAGTTGAAAAAATTATAATTATTAAACCCGTTTAAGAATTAGAAAAATTGGAAAAAAATAAATAAAAAAAGTTGATTCCAACATTATTTTTTTCCCTAATTTCTTTAATTTCGGATCGGATAATTATTCTTATCAGATCGAATCGGATATAAAGAGACTTGATCCATTTACCGCCCTAGCTCTAGCATGGGACACCTCAAATTCAAGTCATATCGGTCGATGCGACCCGATTTATATCTCTATATATACTCTATTTATTATTTAGATATTCAATGATATTGATATGCATAGATAAACGTCATTTATTTACAATTTTACATTAATATATTGTGCCGTGCACTTGCTTTTATTAGCGTATAATTTTTTTTTGCAAATTTCATTCCAAGAATATTCGGTGCTTGCATGCTATTAAGAGCAATTCTTAGAGGTATGTCTAAAAGAAATCTCAGATTTTAAAATATCTTCTTAACATTTGTCATTGATTTTCAAGAATGGACCCCATTGAAGTTACCTCAGATGGAAAATATAGTCAATCTATGGGAAACAAAGAAATTTGCATTCTTATTGTGGATGATGATCATACATGCTGTGCTATTGTGGCTAAAATGATCCAATCTCACACTACTTACAAAGGTATGTCTTCTGTTCATTAATTCGATCAAAGTTATGTGACATTTTATGAGCACGAACGTAATGTTATACCATGTTTTCTTAGTATTGCGTACCGGAGTTGCTTTTGAGGTTTTAAAGGCGATAGAGAAGAGAAAGGACAGATTCGAACTTGTTTTAACCAATGTTCACAGGTTAGAATCACGTGGACATGAGATTATCCGATGTATAAACGAGCAATTCAATCTTCCCACAATTTGTAAGTACAACATTCTGTTGTCTACTTCCTATTACTTGGAAAATGTCTAACACGCACAATTTCAATTTTATTGTAGTAATGTATCCAGACAATATGAAGATAGCGTCTAAAGGTCAAGAACATATCGTTAAAGCAAACGTTGTGAATTCGTTTAACCGGGATAAAATAAATCACCTTTGGCAATGTGCATTTGAGAAATTGAAGGCCAAAAAGGTGGAAACTAATAATGTACGAGCGAATTCTCACGAGAAATCCATGTCGTCTCAAAAGAGATCCATACCGTTTCAAGAGACTAATTCACCATCAATTAGTCAATCGTTACGAGTTCATGAAAGAGAAGAAGGTAGACATACAAACGAACAAACTCAATGTGGAAAAGATGAGTATTCCCCAAATAAGAAACCAAGGATGGTGTGGACCACAGAATTGCATGCTAAATTCATGAAAGCCCTCGATAAATTAGGCGAAAGTAAGATTTTAACTTTTTTTCTTCTTCGAGTTTTCTTGTTCTTTCCATATTAACAATTCATCCCTACAATTTAACGTTTTCTTGTTTCTTTCTCAGAAGCAGTACCAACGAATATAGTTGAACTTATGGACCATCCAGGGTTAACTAGAGAAAATGTTGCTAGTCATTTGCAGGTTTGTTCTTCATCTCCATTTACTGATTGCATGGAATATCTATTATAGATAAAATCTGTAAGTTTAAATTTGGAATGAGGTTCATGTTAATAAAAACATTGATAATTACTAAATCTTTTTACAGAAACATCGTGAGAGCAGAAAACGAGATAAACACGACGCAAGTTCTATGCTTCTGGGTTCGATTTTAAGACTCAACCCCTTGCAAAGGAATCCTTTTTTCGCCCAACAGGGTTACACGATATCTTGCCAACAAGTTCCTTCACTGTTGAACCCGAGTCAATCGCAGTTATTTTCAGCAAACAATCAGATGGACACTCCATACCTAAATGTACAAGAGATACCTCTTTTGACAGTTCCACAGTTGAACAAGTATCCAGGTCTTGGAAGTTTGGGATTCAGAAATGAAAATAGCTTAAAACATTCGAAACAGATGTGCATTCCCAGACAACAAGACTTCAAACTATTCAATCAAACCAAGAATATTTACACCTTTGCTGGATTGAGATTGGCAAACAATGGAAAGTCAATCGAATTTGGCCCTCATAAAGTATTCCATTCAGGAACTGCTGAGAACGAGTTTAATGTCCTCAAGCCAGCATCATCAATGAATCAGGACATGATACTAAATCAGTACACTTCACTGATGATAGACTCCAATTCCCAGCAGCCTTCTCAGATGACAACATTCACGAGTCATATCCAACTGAACACCACTCCAGATCAAAACCCTTCAGCATTGTTCGATTGCATTTCCCAAGAGTTGTCTCTCTTAGAAAATTCTCCAAACGACTTTCAACAACAAGATACGGAACCAATTTCAAGACCTACAAATGAAAATACAGTAGTACAATACTCATCTCAATTGCCAAGTCCAGCAAATAAAGACGATGTCCAATGTATTTCAACACCCCAAAATAGCATCTTGCAGCAGCAACCTCCTATGCAATTCTTAGAAAATTTCAAGAATGAAAGTGCTGATCAGTGCCCTTCAGCACTTCTCTTTGATCCAGAAATGGATTGGAATGAAGTATGGACTCCACAATTACCACAAACGCCGCAACAAATGAATGATTTTGTCAATAAAGGGAAGATGGACAATACATTACTTCAAGTTAATTTGGACAACTTGGATTTTGGGCAACTTTTTGAAAATGATGAATGAATGATGTACATAAAAGTAAACCACTCCCACCCCCAAGTTTTGACAATACTTTAGCATGATGTATAGGCGTAGAGTTCACAGTTGCAAAAGGAATAACATTTGTTTATAATTGTCAATGAATTTTTTTCTTCTGACTCATTGTCACCTGTAATTTCAGTTTAATGTACAGAGAATATGAAAATTTAAAACATATTCGTTATTCCTTTACTTATCTTGTGGTATACTTGAATGAAGTCGTCATCGCCTAACTTAGAGAGGGAAGTAATTCTGATTTGTTTTCTGCTACGAAAACCTTCTTTTTTCTGCTAGAAACCAGATCTTGAAACCATAAAATTATATACTGATGGCTATAAGAGATCATCCAACCTAGCTGCTGAAGGAAGAGTGTTAAGAGACAAGGGACATGTTCTATCAGCATTCCATGATTTCAATGGATGACGCTCAGTATTTGAAGGTAAAATCAGGGACTTAGAATCTGCAACTAACAAGGAGATGGCAAGATGGCAAAGTAAGTGAAAAAAGACTCCCCTTGGTGTCCATTCAGTTCATGCACAATATTGAACTAACCTTTGGCAAAAAAATTGCAGGTAATCTTTTCGCGTACTTGGATGGAGGGAAATGCTGTGGCTGATTTGCTAGCAGATGAGGGATATACAAAGAGAGGAAATGCTATGGCTGATTTGCTACCAGAGACAGGATATACAAAGAGAGAAGAATCAAGATATCTAGCATCGCGAACTCAGAGTCACAAGAGAAGCTATAGGTATGTTACAACTAGATAAATGGAATATCTCGTGCTCAAGAGTAAAGTAGGCATCCATTTTTGTTTTGAAAAAATGCATTCTTTTATTTCATTTGTATTTTTGTTCAGAAATAGGGTGACATGTCCCATCTATATAACAATGTTTTCTATTAATATATTAAGGTAGGAAATAATGTCAAATCCTCTCATTTGACGGCCTAAAAATCCTCGTGCTTTTGAGTGAATTTGGTTGAGAGAAAAAGTTAATGTAGAAATCATTGTCTGAGTAGTGAGTTCTTTGTCAAAATTAAAAGGAATTTTTTTGAAATTAAAAATTGATAAAAGTAAAAGAATAGGGAAAACAAAAGAAGAAAGTAAGTTAAGTAACCACTTCAAGTTCAACTGGCTGTGAACCATCTCTTCAACAAACTGCAATGCCTTGTCTCTTACAATCTCTTCCGACAACCTTTTCCTTTCCCTATCCCGAAACTTCACAACCCCCACCTACGCCGAATAGCCGCGTCACGGTCTCCGCTTTGGCCACGAGAACCGCCACCAGCCGCAGCAAATTCTCCAAAACATTCCAACGCATACTAGCGAATACAACGTCAAATACCAAATTCAAAAGACAAGAAGATGATTACCACTCCACACTAGAAGCCCTTAACTCCAAGGGCCGCTTCCCACGAAAATCCCTCGGCCAGGTGAAGATATTTTCTCTGAATTGTATTTTTCAAATGGGTTCTTACTAATATTATAGTTATCATTAAAATAAGTTTTTTAAATTTATTTTTTTCGTATTTTAGCATTATATGTTGAACGCCTCGATAAATGAAGAGCTAACAATGGCCGCCAACGTTAAAGAAGGGGATGTAGTGCTTGAAATTGGGCCAGGAACTGGCTCTTTGACTAATGCACTCGTGAATGCTGGTGCAACTGTTCTTGCAATTGAAAGGGTCTGATTTTGAGTTCTTTAACGTATTCTTTAACTTCAATTTGGTGTCAATTTGAAAAGGGTGTCTGTGATCCATTGAGTATTTAAAAAGAAATGAAGATTGCAAAACTTATGGTGTCATATTTGAGTCTTTGTAACCAAAGCAACTCGAGAACTCGGTTGGACATATTTATGTAGATGTGAATTAAATGAATTGTACCATATGAGAAATCAATATGTTCACCCACGGCTACTTGCAAGAAGCATCCAAATTGTTGAAATGACAATGCTTTTGTGTCTTTATTGGATTATTGCGAATTTTCTTTCATTTACGATTCTCTCTCTTGTAACTTGATTTATATTTTTGGTGTGTGATTTTTAGGATCCGTACATGGCATCAATTGTGCGAGAACGGTTTGCTGGATTAGACAGGGTGGAGGTAAAATTATTGTTTGTAAAGTATATTTCTTCGCTCTCTCCGAGAGTGTGTATTTTTTTGTTTTCGAAGTTTTTGCATGAGATATAAACTTAATCATCCATATGAGGCATAACCTGATAATAATTTTGAACATTTATCTTTAAGGGAGGAAATATTGCAAATGCTCATTGAATATAAGGAAGAAATATGCGTGTGTGATTTTTTGTGTGTCTGTGCGAGGGTGCTTTTTAATCTTTCATTATTAGATTAGTAATGTTTGATTATGTTGTTTGTGAATCTGTTGATGGTATTTGCTTGTAAGGGGAGTAGTGGTCCCTAGTTTAATATTTTCATTAGTTCCTTTATTGTAATACTTGGAGGTTAAGCCGTATGTCCTCACTCTTTGTACTTCATTTTGCTTATAAATCTACTGGGTAAGGGATGGTGCCAACCCCCACCCACATTCGATAGTTGGTTAAGATCCTAAAACTCCTACCTAAATATAGATGGATTTTCAATAAAAAATAAATAATAAGTTGTATCTTCACGGGATCAAATAAACTTTTACAGTCACAAATAACAAATTCATAAAAGTGCTACCTCTAATTGTAGTTTTATATGTGCCACTTTCCCTTTGCTATTCAGAAAAAAATCAAAGTTCATGCTCTATCATGGATAAATATTTTCTTGGGGAGTATGAACAATACCTACCTATGCCGTATGCACCTTGATGTACAAAATTTCTCCATAAATCATTTTTATCTCCGCAGAAGTATAATTCCAAATATGTTATTTGTTAGAGGAATTCCTCATTTATAAATGTTCCATCCAACACCCCCCTCCTATTTCCATGTCAACATTGATCCCAGTAGTTGGTGTTTGTTTTTTATATATTCAACACACTAGGGCGCATGTTGAAAATAAAAGTATTAACAACCTGTTATTCAGGTTTAGTGCTGCCACATGGAAAATTAAAGTGGTGTGATTTTCTCAATTCTACATTGTAGGTTCTGGAAGGGGATTTTATAAGAAGTCATATACGCTCTCATATGTCCTCAATGTTGGCAAGTAAAATCCCTCCAGATGGAAATACACCCTCTGCAAAGGTGAGCTATGAATGTCCACTTGTATGTTAGTCATATATCATTGAGTTAAGTTTGATATTATACAATAGTCAAAGTTGGGAGAATAGGAGGTGGGTATAGTACCTTCTTCACAATCACACATTTAAATTCTGCCACAATTTTATACTTGTATGGGAAAAATGACTCTTCAAATTGATAATTATAAGAAGAATCTGAGGGTTGTGCCTACTTCACCATCTGTATTCAATTAAAGGCTCTGGAAAAATTAGCATTTTAAAAGTTCCTATGTAATTTAGGTAAGGAAAAATGTTATTTTAGCCATTTATGGACATTGAAGAAAATTGGTATTTTTATATTAATTACTGGTTTGCAATGTTTCAACATCCTTTGCAACCTAATGTACCTTCTGGACACTCATTTTGATAGAGCACGAAGACACTAAGTTCTGATTATACCAAATTCAAATATTTTTGGTTGAAGATTTAAATAACTATTGGTAGCAATGATGCCACTTGTTGTATGGTTGTGATTCCTGATTCTCTTGTTATTTTCTGTTGAAGTATGCTAATTTCTGTGATGCATTTCCTAAATTAAAGTCCAATTACAAATACTTAAACATCGTATCTGTGCTTCGTATCCAAATAGCATGAAATGTGTTCTTTCTTCTGAAAATTTGCTTAGTGTTTTCCATAATAGAAATCCTGGATGATATATTGTATATTTCTTGCAGGTTGTCTCCAATTTACCTTTCAACATAAGTACCGATGTTATAAAACTACTACTTCCCATGGGTGATATTTTCTCGGAAATTGTTCTCTTGCTTCAGGTTTGCAATCTCTAATTAATAGTTTATAGCAGTAGGATTCCAATAACTAGAGATATAGTGACTATATGCTGTGTTATAGATGTCCAAACAAATCGATTAATTGCCAGGGATATCACATGGAAGTCACTCAAAAGGGAGGGCAGGGGTGAGTATGGTGGCTTATGTGTCCCAAGTGTAATTTACAAAGAAATGGCGACTTATTTATTTTTTAACTGGTGCTAGTTTCATATTTGAGGTCATTTTGTTTTCAAATAATGCTACAGAAAAGGATTAACTTCTTGATGGATCCGGAATATATTTTAGGTGGTAATGGGGATGGGGTTGAGTTATAAGTCTGTTGAACTCTCCTTTACCTATCAAAAAGAATATAAGGGAATAAAAATTTGATGGATCTTTAGTTGATTGTATAAGAACCTATGTACCATTACTTGTAATTTTGTTATCATCTCATGCAGCTATCTTCTCTTTTCAGCGGCTAATTTACCTTCAAATAAGTGCACTTGCCACATTCATCCAGCTTTTGACAGGCATGATGATAACTTATCTTTATACTGATTCAATATTTTTCAGGACGAAGCAGCCTTGCGCTTTGTGGATTCTTCATCAAAATCATCCGAGTATCGACCTATTAATATCTTCATCAACTTCTATTCAGGTGATACAGATGTACGCTCAGCTTAAAAAGAAGTATTTTAGAGATATATCATTCAACTCTTAATCACATCATAACTCAATTTGGGAAAAAAATTGTGTCACGAAAATATAATTTGTGAAAATGGTAATGTTACTGAATCATGAAGGGTTGGTGACGAAAATAAATTTTATCTTGGCCAATTGACCAAGAGGCACCGACCATCTCAATTATGTAGAGAGAATTGATTAAATGATATGTTGATAGTGGGGCCCATACAAAAGAAACAAATCTTCTTGATGCTAACAATTTACGTATCTAATAATTGTTTATTGGAGGCTTGGCCCCAAGAACCTTGTGCATATCTTCAAGAGAAGATGGAAATGTCCAGCAAGGAAAAATATGGAACCAAGAAAAAGAAACAGTTTCTGTAAACTGAGAGTTAAACGGAGTTAATGAACTGCAAACTCAGCTGCTGGCCTAGAGTCGTATGCTCAGGGCCATCTCTGTTTTTCTCATTGCCAATTCTTCTCTGTTTCTCATCCCTGTACTCTTCGTTCCATTCTCCGGTTGACCCATTCCTTGCTTCTAAATGTGTTATTTTTATATACAGTCGTAACACTATTATATAGTTTCATAGTTAGTTGCAAACCCTGATGGAAAGGGTTTTTAATGACTTAGAAGAAGCATACGCAGGGCCATTAGGGAAATATTATGGTGGATGCTAGAGAAGAAAGAAATCTCTCTTATACAAATTAATATTATTAATGATCTGTGTGATATAGCAATAACGAGTATTAGATCTAGCAGAATCGGTAATTTCATATTACAAAGCTTGTGTCAAGGACCTCAAGGTTTTGCTTTATGTTCATGCTTTAGCCATGTATTATAATTGCACCTTGACCAGCTATGGCAATAACCTTTTTGTGCTTTGGTTTTATATATTAGAATCGCATTCACAAACATATTCCAGGATAATCTAAATTTGTTTTCGAGAATTGCGCCTTGACTGATTTTGGACTTTGCTTTCCAAGATAGGTACCTTCCTGAATTTGCTTTCCTCCTACAATTCCACCTTGGTGCAAAGACCTTTGTGCAAGTATCTCATAAAAGTCAGTCAAGGCACAATTCTTGTGTCAAGGACTAGCCCATTTTTAATACTGGTTTCAGTTTATGTATTAGAAATGTGTGCTTACTAAGTTTATATTGTTCGCCATTCCAACTTAAAGGATGGTTTTATTCTTTGTTCTTTTGTGAGTCTTATTTTATTATTGTTTATAACCTGGAACATTTCTTTGCCATTTACTCTTCAGATCCTGAATACAAATTTAAGGTTCCAAGAACAAATTTCTTCCCACAACCTAAAGTAAGCTATCAATTTATATTTTTACATTACATCCAAGTTCCAACACAGATGCACGCTGCATAAAATTTATGCATGTTTATTCTATTGTATTTTGCTACAATAAATTGTGTTCGTGTTTCTCTTCAGCCTTGTTTATGAGCTTGATGTCACCAAACGCTGTCCTTTCCATTTTTCATTGTGTTTTCTGAACAACAACCCTGTACTTCTTGTTCTTTGTCAGGTTGATGCAGCTGTTGTTGCGTTCAAGTTGAAGCAAATAACAGATTATCCTCAAGTGTCCACCATCAAAAGCTTCTTCTCAATGGTTTTTACCTATTATATTTCTGCTGATATCACTTAATCGACACGTTGTGATGCCAATTCTGGAAACAGTTTGTATCGATAACTTGAGAACTACCAATTCTTTTGTCTACACCTACACGAACTAAACATGGAAAACAGAATTTCCTTGCTACCTTTTGGCATATTCTTCTGAATCAAAACAATTTTTTGTGCATATGATTATATTTGTTTTGTTCTGTCAATTTATCTGCCATCCGGTTTTAGGTCAATTCTGCATTCAATGGGAAACGTAAGATGTTGAGGAAATCTCTCCAGCATATATGTTCATCCCCTGAGATCGAAGCAGCTCTTTGTAGTGTTGGTCTTCCACCTACTGTAAGTGCCAGTTCTCATTTCATCTGCCTGATGATTCAATTTATCTCTCTATATCTCATTACATATCCATTCAGGCAAGACCAGAGGAGCTTACGCTCGAGGATTTTGTAAAATTGCATAATCTGATTGTGAAGACACCTTTTCTGGATAATTTAGAGTAGATTCTAACAGTCCTCCCATAAGCATCAATGACAAGGTGCTGGGCTGTGGGCCAGTGCTGCACCAGTATGGAAGTGGAGACATAATGACCACTTCACCAGGATTGAGCTTTCCATTATGTAAAATGCAGAAACCACGAACGGATTTCAAGGTTCCCGAGTGTATGTATAGTATTTTCATATGTAATGCTATCAAAATGTTATAGGGACGTGATGTTGTGCTCAATATTCTTATGTCTAGTAATCTTCATTTTCGATAATTCTTTAATGAATATGGAGTTGCGCTTGTTAATCTAAACTACTTACTGCAAAATGAAAAGAAACGATAAAATTGACAACCCAAGAACCTAATCAAATGTGCTATGAAATAAATCCCCAAGAAAGTTACTGAAATAGAGTATTATTACAATATTTGTGTACAATACAATGGTTTAACGCTATAATTTACAACATTTTGCTATAAATCTTTCCTTATATTATTTCCAGTATGAAATTTTAGCCATGAAACTGATAAAGAAGATCAAGAGATCTCAACTTGGTCCCATGAGGATCAAGATTCGCAGCCACAGCGCCACCCATCACATCCCCATTGTCCTTGCTCTGGCGCTGCTCTGCTGAAGGCGAAAGTTGCCTCTTGGTCCTCTTGTTCTGAATAAAACACTCCCTCATTTTCTCTTCAACCTTATCAATAGCAGCAGCACTGGTGGTAGCCTTTGAATCCTGTTCAGCATCTTCATCGCCCATTTGCATGGGGTCACCACCAGTATCACCGTTGTCATCACGGCCACCACCCAGGGCGGAGGGTACTGAGTTTTCCGGTGGCGGTTGTAAGGCTGGTGGATAGGGGTGGTGGCCGGAGAGGAAAAGTGAGAGGTGGCGGTGGGTAGAGTGGAGAGTGGTGTATATTTGGAGGATTTGATGAGGGTTTGTGGTGGTCGAAAGTTGTTTCGCCATTAAGGTTGCTTGCTCTAGTGCTGCTACTAGATCTTCTCCTGATGCTGATGCCATTTCTGTTTCCATCTCCATTATCTTCCCGTGTGTTTTGTGGGTACGTAGTGGGTAGTTTCAGATTCTTCGATTTGGGGACTTCGAGGTATTCTCCTCGAGGATGTTTATGTTATAATATGTGTACTTTGTACTTTGTAGCCCATTAGCCGTAGGATTTGCAGAGATCGGCCACCATGCGACAGAATTTAGTCCAATAGTCTTATGATTTCTGGCCTGTTATTGAGGGTATGTTTCAGGTTTATTTTTTTATAATAGATTTTGTGAAAATGAGACATTTTTAGAAAATACTAGTCAGAAGCACGTGCAATGCACGTGCTATGATGTAATTGAGTACGTAATAGCATAAGTATTGAAAACAAATATCTATGTCAAATATTAGTTACATAAAATTTTCTTATAAGTTACTAAATGTTTCGAGACAACATTAAATGTGGAGATGAAAAAAATCACACCCACAGTTATTGAAGAAATCGAGGCTCACCTTCCACCACA